AAAGGAGGAAGTAAAGGAAACGCCCAGTGCCATCTCATTTTAACGTCGCTTTCTCTTGATTTTATTCTTGTTCCCTAATCTGTCCTGAACCCTAACTCCGCTCACTGTTCTGCTCGCCCACCACCGACCTCCTCTGTCCGTCTGTCTGTCCTTTGCTGTCTGTCTGTGCAGATGTCCGCCCCCCCACCCTATCTCCTTTCGGATGTTTTCTTCTCTCCAACCTCTTCACCTTTTTACCCTTGAGATTCTGGCTCAACTTTCACACTGTCACCAATGGGAATTCTAAGTCTTTAAAAAATGTTGAAAAAAAAAATCATCTCACAGTTTATCACAGTAAGTCAGGGATCTGCTGTGTCATGCAAAACTAAAGAAGGAAAAAAAAAATGTTGAAATCCTTTATTTTCCCACCAACAGGTCACATTATTCTGTGGAGAGACTTCGGTTTAAAAACTGGTTGTTTTTTTTTTTTTTTTTTTTTTTTTCAATTTTGCTGCGTAATCTTGTCCAGACTGGAAACAGTGTCGAACCTCAGTCGGATCCAAGCTGGAATATTCATAATGATATTCATATCCACTCGCGTACATTCCTTTAACCTGTTGGCACTAATCAGTTGATCAACTTATCAGTCCTGACACAGAGGTTTTTTAATGTATTTATGAACTGACACACACACACACCACAAAGCGTGTTCGACCAAGCACCTCGGGTCCAGCACTGCATTGTGGGTATATCATTGCGTAACTGGAATCCCAGCCTAACAGAAGAGCCACTCCCGTCATTGCCTGTCTCAGGCACAGGGAGGACCAGGGACGAGCCAGGTGGACATTTTTGGTCCATGACTCACAGCTGTCCTGAATGCAACCCCCCCTGCTGGTGGGGATGCTCTTCTCTATTCATGTTTGTTTCTCAGTCTTGCAGCCTGAATGCCTTCATTTCCAGCGGTAAAAAAAAACAAAGTGGAGACCGCACCCTGTCAAGTTTGTCCCTGTTGCTAAAAAAATAAATAAATCAGAATCTTAGTAAAAATGCCAAATCATAGACTATAAATAAGAAACAGACATAGCTGCAAAATACAAGTGCGAAAATAATCCTAATAAAAAATATCACTGGGCTGATGCTGGAAGAAACTCCTTGTCAATGGAAGTGTATGGGAAAATGAAGCCAATTCTCATCCTTCCTGGGAAGTTTATGATCTTAGTCACTGTTATAGGTCTTCGACGATAGAAGATACTGAACACACCGCGGTCCCCTGATTATTTTCTTACTCAATTTTTCCTGGTGCTTCTTTTTACATTTTTTTTACTTTAAGACCATCATTGGTGATTACGACCATACAGCCTCTTATAAAATCCTTATTGATGTTACGCTGAATGAGAAGTGACCTCATTTCCTCAAAGACCATTGGCTTCACGTACATGGCCCGAGGGCCAGACACGGCATAATTCATTTTCATTTTTAATTCCTTCCGCACTTTTTGTGAGTTGACATTCCAATTTAGTTTTTCCTGTTTAATGTGAGAGTAATGGGTAAAAATGTTTGTCTGTGGTGAATGTCCTTGGTGTTTTTTCTTCATGCTTTCTTTTCATTATCACTGTTATAAAAAAAAGGCTATTTTCAAAAGTAATTTGTTAGTGTATGAAATGAATAAATAAACCAGTAAATTTGCTAATGAATCAAGTCAGACGAGTTCATCTGGATCTGTTGAGACGTGGAATTCAACTCATCAGCCTGCAGTGTTAGTGTTGGCGGCTCGGTTTGAGAAATCGGCCAAGAGCTCTGACATGAAAACCTGTTTCTGGTCAATTCAAACTGCTTGTTATTAAAAAAAGACTTAAAACGATTACCACAAAAACACATTTGTCTTTTTATGCTGTGGTTGTCACAACAACAACAACTAAAAAAAACCAGAACCCATCGACCTTTTTTTTATGTTTTTGTTTGTTCTGTGTTTGGTCTCTGGTCTGATTCATGGAGAAAAACATAAAAAATAAAGTCGCCGGTTGCTGCGTCATTCTTTGACATAAAAAAAAAATCCTTGAAAGATGTTATTTGACCATCTATAGGTGGTTTAGATATTCAGATTTGCCTGTGACCATACTGACCTCTCCCCCTCCTCTTTTTCTTGCTTTATATTATTTCCCATGTGATGCACTGTGACCCTCAGACAGGAGCGATCAGGGCGGGGCATTTTTAGGCAATAGAAGGTTAGAAGGGGCCTGGAAACTATTTTAGCTTTATTTAGAAGAAACAAGTCTATCACAATGTAGCTAGACAACGTTGTGCAATTGCATTTTGTCGGGGAAAAGTTTCAACAGGTCACAGTGTTTTGAAAAGAAGCTTTTACTCTGTGGAGGAAGGTCAAAGGTCGTGTCATGTTAGTGGACTCGGAGACAAGAAGTCCAGTGTGGTGCAAGTTAATGTCGTTTTAAAAGTTTTGCCACTTTCTAATGTGTTGGATCGTGGTGACCGTGCTAATGACACCTGCGAGCCCGTTAATAATAATAATCTGCCAAACAAACTGTATATGAACACACTGTACAGTATGTATGCCTGTGGTTAGCATTAACCTTTTGTTAGCGTATGAGCAAAGCAAATGCTAGATCATGAAGTCGTTTTAGCTCGTGTGTTTGAAGAGGTGGAGTTTGGTTTGTTTCTGTTTCGTTCGCCTGACTGTGATGATGTTTTTGCTCAGATTTGATGTCATGAGAGCGGCTCGTGCACCAAGCACGGTGGTAGCATCTGACAGACCTGGGTCGTGCTTCTCATTCGTGTCACCCCGGTTACACTTGACATCAGTGTTGCCAACTATGCATGCTCTATGTGGTGAATAAACTCAACCTAGGTGCCCGGTGGTGGAATTCAGTTGTTTTGGGGAAAGAAGATTAAAAAAAAAAAAAAAGTTTCATCTTTTGTGCCAACGTATTCATCTCTGCATTTTAAGACTATTTAAACTCAGTGCCATGCACTGTTTCTTCTTCTTGTGCCTCTTAGTCCATCTTCTCAAGCCAAAAACAGCAAACAGACCACTCGTGTACACGTGCACTGTTGTGCAATATGCCGTTTGGGCTCGAAAAGAGCAGAAAGCAGATGTTGGCTAACGCTTCAGAACAATGGGAAGACTTGTCGTGCTAGTTATTGGTTTGTAAGAAGCACGTCAGGTAGATCTAGTGCTAGACGGCTCGACCAGAGTCTTGTGAATCTTTTGTGTCTGCACGTCCAATAACAGTTGACAAAGTTTCTCATGTGCGACCTCGCAGTGGTTCCTGCTGTTGTCTTAGCAACGAGGTTAATGGTCAGGCTGAGCGCTGAGACTCGTGTGTGATCGACTTCAACCTCTCCTGTGACCTTCACTAGTAGATGACAGTCAATGGAGTGAATGAGATGACCTCTGTGGACGTGGAAAGAATGGCATCACAGGTAGACTGTTGTCTGCCAGTTGTGTTTGAACTGAATGAAAGCCTGTGTTGTGTAAGTCTGGCCCTGGGTGGATTTGTTAAGACAAAGTCAAATTTAAGCATGTGATAATGTGATCGTGCTCCACTCGTCAGCTCCCAGTCTTAGGTGCGGCATGTTTTTGTCCGACCTGGATGTTCTGCTCTTCTGCTCTGGCATCACTCACCTACTGAACCGTAACGCTGTATCATCATCATCATCATCATCATCCTGTTTCCATTCAGTATCTGTCGTATCCTCCTGTCCACCCATCTGCTCCCATCCCTCTTCCTGCCGCCTTTATCCTTGGCTCCTGTGCTTCTAATGGCTCACACCCGCTGCTTCTATGATCCTGGTTATATACTGTAGACTCAGCAGAGTGAAATCATGTAATCCTCGACCGCAAGTTTAGCCCTCAGACCCATTTTTGTGCATTCCATTTTTTTAGTGTTTTTGTTTTGATATAATTTTCTCCTTTTTTTTCTTTTTTTGAATAAAAAAAATGAATAAAGATAGCATATGCATATTCACATACATGTGTATTTGAAACTCAAACTGGAGTACAGACTCAGATGTAAGGACCTGATATCATCTCCTGTTGCTCTGATACAGCACTTCAAATTGTACTTAAGATTCAATAAAGTGTCATTTTTCTCAGGCGGTGGTTTGTCTCGTGTCCTGTGATGTGGAGAGCTGATGTTTAAATCTTTACTGATGGACCAACTGCTCAAACCCAAAGGGACAATCTCAGATGTGTTGTGCCCACACTTGCCAATAGGGGGTGAACAAAGGTCTGCTGTCCAAGGTCCAGGGTAGAGAGGGGACCTCAATATCCATCTGGCAAAATCAGGCCATGAATCTGTGACCTTCTTACTGTAAGAGTTGAGTGCTAATTGTCTCCTCAATTACTACAGTAAAAGTAGACCTCTAAAAAGAAATAAGTTATATACAAGAATATTAAAATATATTAATATTAATAATTCATAACATAACCTATATTCTTCAAAAAAAATCTAAGAATTATACGTCTGTTCCTCCATGTTTTAAACAGTCCATATTTCAGGCCTGTATTGAAGGCATGCTAGAAGGTAACTGGTTTATTACTGTAATTCATTAATAATATTATTTATTATTAATAAATATAATATGTTAAAAAATAAAATGAACAATGGCCTTAACACGGGGTGAAATCATTGTTTTTTCCCGTCACATGACTCACGCTAGCATCCACTTCCGGGGTGTGAGGGTCTCGCCACGAACTTTTCCGATCTTTGCCGATCTCCTGCACCCGAGTCATTCGTTGGTGTCGTACAGTGTAAAGGAGGCAGTGCTGCGTCGTTTTCTTCTTCCCCCACCTCCACGTCTCTCCGTCTGTCACCTTCATCGTCCATCTCTGACATAATTTCCATCATGGTGGACATTTTGATGTTGATGTTTTTCGCCGTCATTGGCCTCGTCTTCCTCTCGTACATCATCTACGTGCTGTGATGATGAAAACGAAGATGAGGCTTCACGCTGGCCGCGGCTGCAGCGGTGCA